CCTCCCTCTCTCCCCCTCTCCCTCTCCCTCCCTCCCTCCCTCCCTCCCTCTCCCTCTCCTGAACACACTGCAAATATCTGGTGTCATTAGCACTTTATCCTTTTGTAAAAAGCAACAGACTCATGCACATGAGCTTAGTGTGGAATAGAGCCACTTCAGATGCATGGTGTGTTATCCAGCAAACATTCATCAGGGCACAGAGAGACAAACTGCACAGTTAGAGCTCCTTCATGTTTAATGTGTTTTCTTAAAAACAAAACCAATAACCCGGAAGTTTCAATGGCAAAATATGCACGTGATGTTATTATGTGTTTTCAATTAGACACTTAAATGGCCATGTTCCACACAATAAACACAAAAGGGGTGGAGACAAACTCATTTCATTAACATCGGTGGGGGAAACTGGCCATTTAAAAGACATGTGCACCATTCACAATGTTCATCCCCCCCCCTAAATTATTTTTGTATTCAAGCTGACAACGTAAGGAACAAGTTCACTCCAAGAAAAGTTTGCATCAGCACTGCTTACACCACTGAGAAGTACAAAAATTTCAGAAGCAGGATCCATTCATTTTTGTATTATTTTTTAAAAAGACATTCCCTATAGAGATTGTGCACCTCCCACTTCTTCACAACTGAAAAAAATGGGGGGGGGGCAGATTGTTTTACAACATTTTAAACTTTGGGAACTCCTGCTAAACCGTATTGTTTTCTGAGTTTGCAAACCTTCCAGTTTTACTCTAAAGTTAAAAATTCCAACACTGTTATTATTTATGTTTGTTCAATAATTTAATCCAAGAAAGAATCACTGGGAAGTGAAGATATGTTTCATGCATCCACATGTCCCCCACGCTTTATTTTCCTACTCAGAAAGTGTCTCTCCCAAACTTCAAAGTGTTTGTGGAGGAAGCACAACTGCACTGCAAAGGTGAGATTGATGGAGAAGTGGCATGTGCCCAGTGGCCAAGGCTCCCTCTAAGCTATGGAGTCTTTTGTGAGCAAAAATTCTACTTTGTGAACTGCTGGCATTAAAGTTGTGAGCAAGCAATTTGGCTCCTGCATAAATTAGTTTGCCCTGGAGCCATCCTTCCTGAACTAAGACAAAAATTTATGAGCTGGAGGCTAAAATACTGTGAGCTAGCTCACACTAACTCAGTTTAGAGGGAACACTGCCAGTGTTGGCATTTGTCCTTGGCACCAAATCCCCAAACTGCTTTTTGAATCTTGTAAACAAGTGCCCGCCTGCTTGCCTATAGCAAGCAAGAGCTCGGCAAGGAAACTTCTGTTGCTGTAAAGACTTTCAGCCTTAAAAGACAACTCACAATCAATATCCATTATATGGATGAGAATACTGTTGCTCTTCTAGAGAAAACTTAATGTGCTCAGTGCTATCTTGGCCTCACAGACTTCTTCAGCAATGCCATAAGAACCAGGAAGGGAAAATTAGACAAATCTAATTAAAGTAGGACATTACTGCAGAAGAAATAAACTAGAGGAAGCTCCCAGAAGGGTTTTTGAAACCCCAAGAGCTAGAGGGTAGAGCAAGATAATGTGGGATGGGTAGTGGTGATGTTGCATCGAATAGCAGCAATATTAGTGGTAATACCTCCATATTAGTGGTTGGGAGTGTGGACTCTAATCTGGGAGAACCGGGTTTGATTCCCCATTCCTCCACATGCAACTGCTGGTGTGACTATGGGTCAGTTACAGGTTCAGTCAGAGCTATTCTCTCATGAGCAGTCCTCGAAAGAGCTGTCAGCCCCACCTACCTCACAGGGTGTCTGCTGTGGGGAGGGAAACGGAAAGGACATTGTAAGCCACTCTGAGACTCCTTTGGGTAGTGAAGGGCAGGGTATAAATCCAATTTCCTCCTCCTCCTTCTCCTCTTCATAAGAACATATGAAGAGCCCTGCTGAATCAGAGCAATGGTCCATCTAGTCCAGCATCCTGTCTCACACAGTGGCCAACCAATTCCTCTGGAGGGCCAACAACAGCACAGAGGCTGAGCCCTTCCCCTGTCATTTCCTCCTGGCTCTGGGATTCAGAGGCTGAGTGCCTCTGAATGTGGAGGTTCCCCTCAAACAACATGGCTAGTAGCTGGCAATCGACTTATCCTCTATGAATCTATCTAATCCCCTTTAAAAGCAGTTTACTCCTGTGGCCATCATTACACCCTCTGGCAGCAAGTTCCACATTTTAATCACTTTCTTTGTAAAGCAGTATTTCCTTTTGTCTGGCATGATGCAACCAGGAATTGTGCCATATGGTATTTATCACTTTGTGTTGTCAGAATCGGGTGGCACTGAAGTGATGGACTATTCACCACACAAAATTAAATAGAATGGGCATTACATGCGAAATTCAGCCTGTTAATGTCAAATTGTAACATCTCACCTCCAATTTATATGTTCAGGCATAACCAAAATTAGGCATGGACAGAAATCTTAGAAGATAAGATGGGGAGCGGTGGCACAGTGGGTATATCCCACTGCCTTAACATCCGAACTGTGTCAGTTCGAGCCCTGTGCTGGTGTGAGCAGCCAGCCTGTTGTCCCTAGCTCATCATCCACCCAGCGATTCGAAAACCTTGGTGAGTAGATAAAATGGGAACCACTCCTTAGAGAGGGTGGGCACATCAACTCCCCTGTGGGAAGGTGTTAGCTGTCGGTTGGGGACGTCCTGCCCCAGGTCGGAAGGCAGAAGAAACTACTCGGCTTAAAAAAATCCCTGCAGTGGGATGCTCCAGCCAGGCGGGGGCAGTGTAGTGACACGACAGTGATGGACTATTCACCACACAAAATTAAATAGAATGGGCATTACATGCGAAATTCAGCCTGTTAATGTCAAATTGTAACATCTCACCTCCAATTTATATGTTCAGGCATAACCAAAATCAGGCATGCACAGAAATCTTAGAAGATAAGAACTTAAGAGAAGCCAATGTTGAACCAGGCCAATGGCCCATCCAGTCCAATACTCTGTCACACAGTGGCCAAAAATACCAGGTGATATCAGGAAGTCCAGCAGTGGGGCCAGGACACTAGGAGCCCTCACACTATTGAACCCCTCCCAAGCACCAAGAATACAGAGCATCACTTGCCCTGGAGTCCCTATCTATACATTGTGGCTAATAGACACCGATAGACCTCTGCTCCATATGCTATCTAATTCCCTCTTGAAGCTGTCCATGCTTGTAGCCGCCGCCACCTCCTGTGGCAGTGAATTCCATGTGTTAATCACTCTTTGGGTGAAGAAGTACTTTGTTTTATCTGTTCTAACCCGACCGCTCAGCAATTTCATGGAGTGCCCACGAGTTCTTGTATTGTGAGAAAGGGAGAAAAGTACCTCTTTCTCTACCTGCTCTATCCCATGCATAATCTTATAAACCTCAATCATGTCATCGAGTGAGCTAGCTGAAGGCCCTGAGATTTCAATCTGCCACCCTTAAATCTTGAGAATGGGCCCCAAACAGTGACACTGCTGGAGTGTAGGCAAAAAAAGTGGCCTTCACCTGACCAGACAGACCAATGATGGGAAGGAGACCAACAATGAGTCAGCCAGTTTGGCTTGCTTCAGACATCACCCCATCCTCGTGCAACTGGTTGTGCAGGGAGCCAGCGGGTTCCAAAATGGGTTCCTGTGTGTACTGGATACATGAAGAAGAAAGTATAATTATGATTTGAACTGTTTGACTTGGCACCTTAGGCTGCAGTAACTTCGATGGGATTAGACAAATTCATGGAGGATGCCCATTAAATGGATCAACAAATTTAGAGTCCAGTGGCACCTTTAAGAGCAACGAAGG